TCCTCCTCCTCCCCCCTTCTTCTTCCCAAACCCCTCTGCCTTCTAGCAGTGATGATACCTAGTTGGGTCATGAAACGTTTGTAAGGAGACAACCCAGCTCAGAGAGCGCCAGGGACCCCACAGTCCTCCTCCGCCTCCCTTTCTCCTCCTCCTCCTCCACTCCAAACACCCACTCCCTTCTAGCACTGATGATGTTACCTAGTTAGGTCATGAAACATCTGCAAGAAGACCACCCAGGGACCCCAATGGGCATATCTAATAACCTAGCAATGGTATGTAACCACCGAGTTACACAGATTAGGAGCTTGCAAATCCTGAACAACAACCCTGATATATTTGGGCATTCTGAATGCCTAACTTGGCAGGACGAGCAGGAAAAAACGTTTCACCTCGTTTCCAGCCTCGGGTGTGCGAGTGGCAGGGAGGGAGATTAGCCTCAATCCCTTTATTCATCACCACAACGGATGTTTATCCCCCCCCAATGAAACCAGCCAAAACTCAAGCTTCCCCACTCATCTCCAAGTGATTCCTTCCCAATCCACTAGTCCTCTTGGGGGCAAAAATGTTCCCAAGAGCCTCCCTCGGGCAGAATACCTCCTTCTGCTCGGCCTCCTCCTCTTCCTCGTGGGTCTGATAGTGCGAGGTCTCCTCGGAGTAGTAGATCTTGTTGCTGGTCAGAACAAAGTAGTGGGGGCTCCAGGTCTGTAACAGAGGAGGGAGGGGGGCTGTTATCAAAGCGAAAGAGAGAGAAAAAAGAAGGGATAGAACTTTTTTTGGGATAGGAGGCCAAGTAGAGATCAAGTGCAAATTCCACCCCCCCATGCAGAATCCAAGCATTTCACCCCAAAACAACGTTGCGTGCCGCTGATAGTTGCAAAGCTAGTTCTCAACCTGAAATAATTCATTTAGAGACCCCGCTGGAGAATTCTGGGAACGGAAGTCGACCCGTCTTCAAGTGGTCAAGGTTGAGACACACTGATTTAGAGAATGCCTGGCTGGGGAAGCTTGATAGGAGCAAACCACGATGGTGTGGGAGACCACCTGGAGATCTTCTGAAGACACCTGGCTGCCTCCCTCACCACACGGTGGCCCACCCCCCTCCCAGGAGCTCACGTGGTCAATGGGGTCTTCCAGGTACAAGATGCCATTCTTGATTGAGTTGCTGATGTCGTTCTCAGAGTAGCTGGCCGTGGAGACCTCTTCGTACAGGTTGCCTTCCACCAGCTTCTTGTGCTGAGGGCAGAGGAGAAAATGAAAGAGGAGTGGAAGGGGTGCAGGGATGGGAACAGACAACCATGTCCGAGGGTTCCTGATGGACAGCTTTGGTTATTGACAGATGCACATAAATCAGGTTTAGAAAAGGCTCATCTCCATCACGATGGGGCGGTTCTTCTGAAGAAAGGGAATGGAGGAGAGGGAAAGATGGTGACGGAACCCAAATAATGGCTGGGTGGTTTTCTTGGAGATGTTTCATGACCCAACTAGGGAACATCATCATTGCTAGAAGGGAGTAAAAATTGGGAGAAGGAGGAGGAGGAGGAGGAGGAGGAGGAGGAGGATGAGGATTGTGGGGTCCTGTGCTCTCTCTGGGCTTGGTGGTTTTCTTGCAGAAGTTTCATAGCCCAACTAGGGAACATCATCAGTGCTAGAAGGGAGTGGAGATTGGGAGAAGGAGGAGGAGGAGGATTGTGGGGTCCTTGGTGGTCTCTGGGCTTGGTGGTTTCATAGCCCAACTAGGGAACATCATCAGTGCTAGAAGGGAGTGGGGTTTGCAGAATCAAGGAGGAGGAGGAGAAAGGTAGGAGGAGAAAGAGGCCACCTATGGAGTCCTTGATGATCTCTGAACTTGGTGGTTTTCCTGGAGACATTTCATGATCCAACTAGGGAATATCATCAGTACTAGAAGGGAGTGTGGTTTGCAGGGAGGAGGAGGAGAAGAAAGGGAGGAGGAGGAGGAGGAGGAGGAGGAGGAGGCCACCTATGGAGTCCTTGGTGCTCTCTGAGCTTGCTGGTTTTTTTCTTCTCATTTCTTTAGAACTGTAGCCTTGTTCACTTAATAATACTATTTTACATCGCTTCCTGGGCGACCAGTCAACTCTTTGCACCATGACTTTAATTTTATGACGTTTTGAAAAGCTCACTCAAGGAAAGAACACAAAAAAAACCCAACCAACTTGATAGCCATCACACAACACACTGACCAATGTCCTCCTCTCAGCTTCAATACAGGACATCAATCACTGGATCCTACTGTGATCCGACTGGCTCATGGCCAAAACAAGATGACACCCGATTGGCTTTCTAAACGCTCGCGCTCATTGGCTACAGTCAGAGGAAGGAAAGCTACCTGAGATCAACCTGAGCAAGTTGTGCTTCCTTTTTCTGGTTATTTGGCTGTAACTTTTCATAGAATACAGTACAGATAATTGAACAAACTTCATTGCATTACATTCTTGATTAAATTATCTTTCCATTGATATATAATTTTATGGTACTACTCCCCCCAAAAAAGTGATGTTCTTAGCCATCCAACCTCAAAAAATACACTTTTCCCAAAAGGTTTCCACCATTTTGGCCACTACTGCAAAGAGGGCAGAGGGGCTGGGCGGGGTCAGGATTTCTCCCAGGTGGGAGACAGAGGGATTGGCTACCTTGATCAAGATTTTTTTCTTCAGCTGGGCAGGAGAAGGAAGCTGGTCGGCATTGACATCCACCGGCTTGGTCAGCAGCATCTCGCCAAAGACCTTCTTGAAGTGGGACGCCATGTTCCTCTGCTGGACGATGCTGCAGTGGTCTTCGATGGACAGGATGACGGGATACCTGGGGGGGGGGGAAAAGGAAGGGGCATCAGGCAGGACTCCAAATACCCTGGAGGAGGAGGAGGAGAAGGAGAAGAGGAGAACGAAAAAAGGGGAGAAGGGAAGGAGGAGGAGAAATAGGAGTTGGAGGAGAAGAAGGAGGAAAAATAAGAGAAGGAGAAGGAGAAGAAGAAGAGGAGGAGAGAAGGAAAGGAGAAGGAGAAGGAGGAGAACAAAAAAAGGGTAGAAGGAGGAGAAATAGAAGTTGGAGGAGAAGGAGAAGAAGAAAGAAGAAAAATAAGAGAAGGAGAAGAAGAGGAGAAGGAGGAGAGAAGGGAAGGAGGAGGAGGAGAACAAAAAAAGGGGTAAAAGGGAAGGAGGAGAAATAGGAGTTGGAGGAGGAGAAGAAGAAGGAAGAAAAATAAGGAGAAGAAGAGGAGGAGAAGGAGGGGAGAAGGGAAGGAGGAGGAGAAAGAGAACAAAAAAAGGGTAAAGGGGAAGGAGAAGAAATAGGAGTTGGAGGAGAAGAAGGAAAATAAAAGGAGAAGAAGAAGAGGAGAAGGAGAGAAGGGAGGAGAACAAAAAAGGGTAGAAGGGAAAGGAGGAGAAATAGGAATTGGAGGAGAAGGAGAAGGAGGAAAAATAAGAGGAGAAGAAGAGGAGGAGGAGGAGAAGAAGAGGAAGAAGAGGAAGAAGAAGAAGAAGAAGAAGAAGAAGAAGAAGAAGAAGAAGAAGAAGAAGAAGAAGAAGAAGAAGAAGAAGAAGAAGAAGAAGAAGAAGAAGAAGAAGGGGGGAGAAAGCCCAAGAGAGGGAGGAGAAAGCAGGCTACAAGGCCTATAAAAGCAGCAACTCCGGCTTACTCGGATGTGGTGAACGCATGCTCCTTGATGGTGTGCAACACATCGAGGAACTTGATTTTGGAGGTCAGCGTGTGGCCGTGGTAGATGATGGGCAGGTCATCGGGGCCATCCCAACAGTCCACTGGGGCAGAGAAGATCAAAGCTTCAATTGGTTTCTTAAAATGATCATCACAACTTTTAAACCATCCCACAAACCGGGCCTTCTCAACTGGGCACCTTCTGGGTGTGTTGAGATTCAAGTGCCCGTAAATTCCCAGTCTGTTGTGTTGTGTGTGTGAGAGTGTTGTGTTTGTGTGTGTGTGAGGGGGTATGCATTTCTCCCCCCCGAGAATGACAAGCATTGCCCACTTTTTGAAGGTGCCCAGTTGAAAAGGAAAAACACGCTTCTGGCCCTCCATCAAACGTCCACAAATGCAATTAATCGATTAATCGTCTCCATCTCCCGCCGTTACATCTAATCAAGGCTTCTCTGCAAAGATACACAAATTGTGTTCCCCTTTGGCAACCGTCACAGACACATTCAACGGTGACACACCGGTTTTTAACAAGGGCTGTCCAGATAGGATGGCCTTCCAGCATCTGCAGGACCAGTGACCTTGCCCTTTGCGATGCCGAGAAGGGGGAAATGGTGGCGTTTTTTTTGTCCTTCCAAACGTACAAAATCGCTAGGCGTGTCAGGTTTGAAGCGTAATGGTGCCGTTGCGACAATTATTGCTTCCCAGCTTGCCAACGAACTCGGGGCAGGGGAGGAGAATGGAATGCAGGCTCTAAAGATCAAGAAGCCGGACCATGAGAATCAAGGATGGTTCAGCAGATGTCTGGCCAGCCTCGGAGACCCTTTCTCATAACAATATTTTGGCATCTAATTGGACAGCGTGACCTGATCCAGTGGGGAGGGGAAGTTCTGTACTTTTACTATAAGGGGTTTGGGCTGGGGGTGGGTTACCAGAGCTGGTTTTACATTTGTTCGTGCCAGAATGATGTACTCAATAAAGTTTTGCATTAAGACAGTGATGGCGAACCTTTTAGAGACCGAGTGCCCAAACTACAACCCAAAACCCACTTATTTATCTCCGGGTGCCAGGTGGGGCTGTGGTGGTCATGGCAGACTGGGTGAGTGTGGCCAAGGTGGGCATGGTCACCTCGATGTTGCTCATGGGGAGGGACGCCTGTGGGGGCCAGGCAGGGTTGGGGGAGATCCAGGGGGTCTCTGGCAGGTGGGGTGGTGGGCAGGAGGCTCGTCCTGGGGGTGAGGCGAGGCAAGGAGAGGCAGGGCGGGGGTACCATTGCCACGGGGCAAGGAGAGGCAGGGGCCGGGGCGGCTGCTGCCTGACACCATTGGCCCCCACACACAGCGGCCAACGTGCGCATGGGGGCCGACAGTGTCCGTCAGCAGCCACAGCCTGCCGGCCCCTCGACCTGCGCACTCTGGGGCTCCGCAGCCCGCCGCCAGCAATTCAGAGAAGCCGCCTCTGAGCTGAACGGTCAGCCAACAGCTGAGGAGGCGATGCAGTGGGTTGTGCCTGGGAAAAGGAGAGCATGCGAGGCCAGGAGGGATGGGGGGGAGGGAAACCAGCTGTGCTGGGATACATCCGGCCACATGGGACCTTGGCAAGTTAGCGGGCAGCTAGTTGAAGAGAAACGGTTGCCATCTCAGGGGCATGGCGCGCGTGCCCACAGAGAGGGCTCTTAGTGCCGCCTCTAGCACTCATGCCATAGGTTTGCCACTACTGCCTTAAGAGATCGGAACGTCTTGCTTGCTTGGGTTCGTCCGTCGGAGGCTGGACAACGTGGTGAAAAGACCACAGATGGTTCTCAGAAATATCCTCGGTGCCGAATGAGCACAGACAACGATGTGGCCCTTAACCAAGGCTTGTTAATAGGCTCAAGAACGGTGGGCGTCAGCTTACATTCAATGCATCGGCAGCCCATCCGAAGGCAGCGGGCGTAGGCTTCCAGGGAGGACTCGCTGGAGAACTGGTCCCCGGTGAGATACCTGCAGGGAGGGAGGAGAAGCAACTGGGGTGAGACTCCTGCAAAGGTCCGTCTTGGGGACAGGGGTGTGGGGAGAATTGGGGAATGCAATTGGACAGAGGCCCCCCAAGTCCACAATCTCTCAAAGACTTATTTTCTTTACGGATTAGGTGAATTTACAGGAGAGGTCCTTGATGCTCTCTTGAGCTTGGTGGTTTTCTGGCAGACGTTTCATGACCCAACTTGGTAATGTCATCAGTGCAATAGCATCAGCGCTGATGACGTTCCCTAATTGGGTCATGAAATGTCTGCAAGAAAACAACCAACCTCAGAGAGTATCAAGGATCCCACAATCTTCCTCCTCCTCCTCCTCCTCCTCTTCTTCTTCTTCCTCTCCTCAAACCCCCCTCCCTTCTAGCACTGAGAATATTCCCTAGTTCCGTCATGAAACGTGTGCAAGAAAACAACCATGTTTAGAGAGTATCCAGAATCCCAGTCTTCTTCTTCTTCTTCTTCTTCTTCTTCTTCTTCTTCTTCTTCTTCTTCTTCTTCTTTCTTCTTCTTCTTCTCCCTTCTCCCTTTCTTCTTCTTCTTCTTCTTCTTCTTCTTCTTCTTCTTCTTCTTCTTCCTCCTCCTCCTCCTCCTCCTCCTCCCCTCC